AACCTATGTAACTGGCTCCATAGGAGCAGTGATAGATACACATAGATACCTTGGCCATCAAGGTTTTAATGATCCTCAATTTGTTGTAGGAATTTCCTTAATTTTATTTGATATTCTATTTCCTGGTACATTTTTATGCTTGATATAACTAAAGCGTCTTTCTTGAACTCTAATTTCACTGATATAATTAAAACTTGGGCATTGCGGTACAGTATGGCTCCATTATGGATAAAATTTTATTTTGATAAAATCCCAGTGTTTGTTACACAGTAATATTTATATCGTATATCTATGAAGCAAGAAAGTTGTCTGAGTAATGCCTAGATATGATTATGAGCAGTATTAAATTGTGCTTGAAATGTCGTCATCAGTAAATATTACTGTATAACAACACTGTGTGGTTTTATCAAAATCAATTTTTATCCATAATGGAGTTGATTGGTCTTAACAAAACGAAGATATTTAAAGAAGAAAAAACAGCAATATTGTTAATGACGACTATTCTAGAATATTCTGCGTATATAATTGTAGAGAGAGAAGAGGAAATTATCGAGAAGGATATTCTTTGCTCAATTTTTAAAAATTTATTTACATACTTATTCACTCCGCGTTGTTAGACTATACATAAATAAAAAAACTACATTTAAATCAGGAAAAAAACACTACTGTCTTCTGCAGTTATCATTCACGACAAACTAGTACAAATATTGTGTTAAAACCACCCCAAAAATATTGATACTTAGTTTCTATAACTGTTGATTCGCAAGGAGAGAAAATACTTTAAAATGCAGTACATAGAATAACCGTAATCACTAGCGCTAAAAAGTCAGTGCTAACTAACAGTTAAGCCTAACCAAGTCATTCGGTTCTCAGACTGTCCTGTTTTTAAACGTAGAACTTTACACGGAATCGCAGCTGCCCAACTTGCCCCACACCATGTAATACAAAAAGGCTGAAGAAAATAATGACCACCGACGCTCAGTTTGAAGATTGGGATTAAAGTGGTTGAGTTTGTCTGCCACTTCACTTAATTGAGAAGTTACATCAATCCTTATGGGCTGATTGTTGATAATTTCCATAAAATTTAGTGCTTGTTTACCTCAATCAGGCGTGGGACAAACAACTGCATTAATTTTGGAAATATCACAATACTACTTATTTTTATAATAAGTAGGCGGGTTGGATTGTAAAAATAATTCGAATGGCGAAAACAACGCTGTACGATATTCTCAATGTATTTCCGCTAATTACAAACGAGACATCAGAAGTATTATCATACAGAAGGAAGGATTTCTTCTTACGGACGGAACCTGAGACCTCAATAATCTTTGGAGAGCATGTATGTGACCAGTATCAAGAAGACCTCTTACGTGATAATCATCACAGGGGTATCACGTTGTCTAATATCACAACCATGTTCCAACGTCCTGTGAAAGCTAAGTGCAGCTTCAGAGAAATAAACCCGTGAAGAACCGGGTGGGCTTTACGCCCTGAAAAAATTGTTATGACTACATCTTCCCCCTTCAACAAGTAAGGGGACATAAGCATACCTATTGGCTTTCGACACTTACCACATTTCGATCTCATACATCAAGGAGCAACAAAGGAAGCACCGAGAAAGCCTGTTGCACTAATCAAGACAATTTGGTCGAACTCACGCAGTCGTATAATAGCTTATGGAGAGCTATTATCAGAAGTGACGACGTCCAAGTGTAACCTATCATATTTACTTAAATCACAGGTGAACTAATGGACGTCCTCTTGACTTCTCGAGAATTAACTTGTCAGTTGGGAATAATCTCATTGATCTAGAATACTAAGATGATGTAGTCCTTCCAGCTGAGGACATAGACAAAATACAGTTTCCCGAGATCCTGCAGCAAAAATCTAATTATCCTTGACAAACATTTCGCCGCTGTCAAGTGCAGGATGACCCGACACTGACTCGTTTTTTAAGGATAGGAAGTGAAATTATTGACTTCAGGTGCATTTAGGGAGTTGCATCAGTCTTCATGATATCGTTGCTGACGAAATCCTTAAATGAATACAAAGTGTTTCTTTGGTCCTTGTCGAACTCCGTCATCTTTGGTGTGGGCATGATACCTGTCCATGCATCAAAGGATATGTGCTCTAAATAGAAGTTTGCTCAGTAATAAGACAAGATCATTGAACGTGCAGAGTATGTAAAGTAGAGGGTTTTGACTACAGGCACCCCAGTCTGATGTCGAACAATATGGTCTACGATAATAAAATTAGGTATAGATGTTAAGGTAGGAAGTCATCATCTGAGACGGTCAACATACATGCCGTGCATACCGAGTCATCTCCTCCTGCGACTAACACCACGACAAGACTTGAAAAGAGTAAGAAGTGGTGAGATAAAGGTATCACAATGGCCCATGAAGTCTTACAGCTCATTTAAGCCGTAGGTAGACTGGCTGGATGGGTATAGATGAGAGACTGAGGACTTCGCTCGAAATCCTCAACATTAGTGTAGATGTATTCATCCTTTGGTATCACATGCAGATTTGCAACATCGTCACTAATTGTTCTCTCCACCATACACTGTATTCTCATATATTTGTCACTTTTTCGCAAAGCTAGAAATCCGCGAGACGATGACCATATCCCAACACAAGATGTAATCATAGGCGCTCAAATTTTATTCACTGTTTCAAACTCGTAGAGCAACACAACGCTTCTAACAAATATTTTTAGACGTAGTAAGTGACGAATGTTGATGAAAGCCTGACGCAATCATCGTGCATCTGTATCGAAATGAAGTTGCGATTGCCGGATGCCTAGAGCTGAAGAGATTCACTGAGATGCATTCAGTGAATAATATTTAACTGCCTATTTGCAGTGGTTACACAATAGTTTGGAATCGAAATTTTTCTTTTAGGCGAAAATGTATCTTAGAAAATTAATTATTTCACTTCATACCATCAGTGTACTCTAAGTAACTTAGATGACCGTGTGGAGAAAGTGGCCATCATAAAAACGTTTTTGTTAAGGTTGAACCTATAGTGAATTTCGACTAAGATACCTGAAGTGACAATAGTCTCTTGGGTTCGATATGATGAACAAGTCGTCAGTGAAGTAACCTTTTACTTGCAATTTGATTAGAGTTAATTCACCAACAGACTTCCACATGAATTAACGATCTCTGACATAGGAGAGATAACGCAGCACTTTCTTTAAAAGTAACAGACATATTGTCAACCAACGCCTAAGGGCTCTCATATATCAAACCACAAGGTAGTCAACATCCTGGTCGATAAAATGATCGAGTGTGGACTTAGCGATGATTGTGAAGGACATTGTAGACGCTTAAAATCAGGTTCTACCCAGTTGTCACTGTTGCAATAGGGGAATATATTGATACAGATAGGAGCAATTTTGCTTACAAGTACAGTTAACTGGTGGTTATGCTAACTGCGTTATTTGTAGCGGTTTCAAAACTAAATAAACGTGATACGTTGATAATAAACTGGAGGAAGCATAGGATGTTACGTAGGAGAAGCTTGTTTTGGACTGCTGGTAAGTAATCAAGTACACAGATGGTACTCGAGAAAAATCGAAGCCATACTCGGCGGAACGACTAAGCTGAAAACAAATCAAGTTGCTGGCATTGAGGATTAAAATCCGCTATTCTGTCAGACATGCTACCACTACGTATTGTCGATTTTATAGGACAAATGTTGATCTAGATATATGGCTCACTGGATTATATGACTGACTTTCAACCATGGAAGTTTAGACAGCAAGCTCACAGATGTGATTCATCGACTGTGTTCATATGAATAGTCACTTAGTAAAATTCGCCATATGATAGCTATCTATCCTCCCTACATATGGAGATACAAACTATGAGTCCATGCGAAAACAACTTACAGGTGTTCTGAACAACCTGTCGGTTCGTTGTACATGATGCCGAAAGTGAACTGCATCACTGACTGGTGTACAGTATGTTCCTAGACGTACCTTGATGACTAAGTTCTTACTACAGTAACGCAAAACTATACAATGCAGCAGACATCAGTAAGAAGACCTCCCTAACAGGTAGAAGTTTGGTACCTATGACAAATAATGTGATATTTAGATAAACAAGGTCAAAGATAACACTCATATAAAACTGTTTCAGGGGAAAAGATTCAGTTATCGGCTTAATATGCTCTAATGAACTTGTCATCGGTTGATATCACGTAAAGAATTATTTATTACGCTAAGCGTTAATATTATTGACAAAAAGACGTTACGTCTTGGTAAGATCATGTTTCAGAGGCTGGACAACTCACTCGTTCAAAAACTGTTTGAAAATTAATGAGAACCACATAGAATGAATGACATAACTCATTATTTTCTCGACTAACTCATCGATACCTGGATAATTGAGTTAGTTTTACCGATATCAGTAATACTTATGCGGTTATGAGACAACATCCAATCTAACATGATCAGGTCACAGTAGAGGGATAAAGTTTTAATGGGTTCATGCAGGAAGATTCAAATCTCACCAATATTAGTGCTTAAAAATTTCCTCAATTAAAATAGGCTTGCAGTAGGTATGTTACCAAACAGCACTAATCAAAAGCAACTGTAAATATCAAGCTGTGGAGTTCAAAATAAACAAAATAAGAGAATACTGAATTTGTAAAACTCGACTAATAGTGCAACCTACGTAGTGAGAATTCCGTTGAACTATATTCCCACCAAGTTAGCTGATAATGGAGCACACATCAAGGTAACAACTGAAACACTACCTTACTCACGGTAGTTAAGGTGACCAATGGACTACACAAGATAGTCTGTCATGTAATGGGTAGCCGTCATCGGTCGACCTAAACCAAGTGTTTGTGATTTAATACACTTGATGGCACTATATAACCGATTATCATGCAAAAATACAAACAAACCGATTGTCAAGAGTTCAAAATCGCATATTAACGCGAAGATAGATGAAAAAAGCCATCAGTCCACAAACTTTATTGTAAAATTATTTACATTTTGTTTTCAGAATAGGGAGCAGTTGGCAGTACTTCTTCTTTAGCGGCCAGAATTGTAACTGAGTCAGGCAGTGGTTTCCGTGGACCCTTTTTGCCAGAACTATCATGATCCAACATAATTTTCACTTTGATTCCTAGTATACCTAAAGAAAAACATAGATCATTAGGATCTGCGCCCACGTGCCTAACAGCCTAAATGACTGAAAAAATGGCTCACCTTGTGGAAGCTGCACGTGGCGAACAGCTCTGTCAATGTAGTAGTTGACGGGGTCACCAGAGTGAATCATTAAACCATCACAAAACTTCATGGCTTTAGCTCTTTGACCCTTTATTTTACCGGAAACAACCACCTCTGCACCCCTTGCTCCGGATTCCATGATGAAACGCAAGATACCATAACACGCCCTAACAATATGACTCAGAAAACTATAGGCTTACTTTCGAACAGGCAGACCGTATGTAAGCTTGTATCTGAGAGACTCTGCTTGTGCGATAGCACTCAGACCACGGAAGGTCATTTTTTCTGCAAACAGTCCCAAAGTCCCATCAGGGAATCCGAAACGCTTTTGCAAAACTGATGTGAGCTCTCGGATACGCCTTGAACCCTCGCCGAGAACACTTTGTGTTTTCGTAGCTAGTATAATAACTTCTGTGTATTTACGGCTTTCGCGCACTTGGAAACCGCTGTATCCATCATCAGCCAATTCACGTTTTAGGAACTCATCCAACTCAGCCTTGAAAACTCCGGCTTTTATAAACTTTATAGCCACGAATAAATAAGTATATTTCAACCAACCTTTCGCTTCAGAGAAATTTTCGCAGTATTAGCCATGATTGCAATGCACGCTGAACCAACAATTCGCGCTTACACGACAGACTTAATTGTGGAGCGCAAGACTTATTTGGCGAAGAACAAACACCTTTTGGATTCAATGTTCTACAACCATGTTCCCGAAGAAAGTATTTGGGCTGCTGAAATTAATCTTCTGAGATTTTTGTTGCAAATTAGCTCAGGTCTTGATATTACTGTCTTTTAATGTTCCAGATAACTTGTAAAGTGTTTTTGATTGGTTTATCAAAAAAACCCAGGTTAGTAAGATTAAATAAGCGTGACTATTATATATGGTTCACATTTATATGGTAGAAGTGCTTGACTCGTGTGGCCTGCATTGATGTTTGCAATATATGTGTTTTCAGAGATCTAATTTCTCTCTGAAAGTGTTCACAGATGGAGCTGATAATACTTGGTCGGTTAAGCAGCTATAGACGTTAACCACCCTATGATGGAGTCTAAATTCCACATGAGTTCTATTCGTCCGTGGTTTGAGCACCTTTTTTAGGGCAGCCCCACAAATTGTCCCAGAGGGAGAGAAAAGGTTAGAAAGATTAACTCCTAAATCACCCTTTACTATACAGTATGCTGAAATGAAGTCGCCTCTCCGTCTTCGGTATTATAATGGGAAGAGCTCTAAATGTTTCATCCTCTTTTCATAGGGAAGGCATGATATGTCACTAACCAGCTTGACTCCTACCCACTGAGCCCCTTCCGACATAAATGTCTTCATCGGATGCTTTACTAAGATCGATAAAACATTTCCACTAGAAGGCTCTTATCCCCAGCTTTGACACAATCCCCCCTAGGTGATAGCAGGCTTGTCAGGTGGGATCGTCGTGGCCGGAGTCCAGGCTGTTCCATCTCCAGTAAGCTATGTTTCTTCATACGATCAAGGAGTTGATCCTTAATTATTGTTTTTAGTACCTTCGCTATAATGCATGTCAGACTTACAGACTGGTAGTTAGATACCAGCAACCTGTTCCCCTCTTTGAAGATGGAGCTCATGATTGCATCCTTCCAGCCTAGCCTGGGCCAGAGACATTTTGAAAATTTCTGTAAGTGGAATGGTTATTATATCCTCCACGGAGACAAGCAGTCTGGGGTGGAGTCCATCAGGCGATAGTGATTCATCTAGCTTCAATTTAGACAGAATGACAACCATTGCATTGTTAACCACAATTGAGGGGGATTTCAGTAGAGATGGCAGTGACCCTACCAAGCCCTTGCGTGATACGGCCAGACGAGAAAAATTCGGAAAGGTTTCCAGCCTTTGCTCCACTTGATTCAACTGCCTCTCCAGTATTGCTTATCACTGATGGTATACCACAGCAAATTTTAGTTCTACGTTTAGTATTTGGGTGCATTCTTTTCGTGTTATGTGCACGCTCCAAAACTAACAGTCCCTCGTACTCCATAGGACTTTTATCAATCATATGCCTACGCAGGTTCCAAACTCTTCGCTAGCCCATCCGAAACTCCTCTGTCTTTGTCAGAGTAAACCGGTCTCATGAGATTTTTCGCTTTCTTAATGACTCCCTTGTTTCACTACTAATCCAAGGTGGTTTATGCGATAGCTTTTAAGGAGCAGACTAAGGTACAAAAAGTAAATTAACGCAGTGTGGTGTATTGTACAATCTCACCCAAGCTTCTTCAACAGTCCCATTTCTAGTAAATGATCAGTCAGCTAGGGTGGCGGCTGTTCAGATTGCCGGTATATTCGTTTTCCAACTGTTTTAACAGGAAGATGTCGACCTCTGTATGAAACTATTAATCTTAAGCGTAAAAGTAATGACTACATTGTCAATAATGCCTAGTGGTAGGAGGCACCTAATGTCGTATGCATCTTCTTTCTGGTGTGTTGGCTCAAAATTCGGAGATGATGGATCATTTTTAGAGTCTTGTAGTGTTGGTTCATGTACACGCTGCACAAGCTCTCATTTGAGGACAGTTAGAGGAAATTCTTTGTTGAAACGGGTACACAGGCTAGTTGAACTTAAACCCTCCCAGTTATTATGTGGAGCATTAAAGACACCTACTATCACATAACTATCTTTATTACTCCATGCCTTCAGGTGATTTAGTACGAGGTCATCGCCCTAACTGACAGGACTTCGATGAATAACTCCAACAGTTACAGTACCTTTGTTCAAGTTAACAGCACGACTTGCGGCTTCACGAGTGCTGCTACCGTGAGCTTCTGAGGAAATTGACCTAATTCCCATGTCATTCCGGATGTATAGGACAACTCCACCCGCTTCCGTCTAACTACACCGTCTACTTTCATGAGGATATACCCCAGCATGAGTGCAGTGAGGTCCACACCTGCTAGCAACCATTTTTCAGTAACAGCAATAACAATGGTTTGTAGTCTTTCAGGTAATACTGGTAAGTGGAGGGACTTATTCCTGAGACTACGCGCATTCTTATAGCACAATGGTACACCTATGTGTTCACTTGGATTACGTACAGAGAACTCGGTAACTCATGCTGCTTTATGGTCCTTTTCCTCTTTTTCTGAGTCTTTAACTAAGCTACGGCTTTCTCTTTTTAATCAGATCCTCAAACAGTAAATTAGGCTTTATTCTGGACTCTTCATTTTCGATCTGATGTGAGTTGTCGAGAATTGAAATATTCTCCACCGCTTTCATTGTCTCCATTTTCAATAGTCTTCTAGAACTTTCCGTAACGTCAGCATTTCGTTGGTCGATTCTGATAATATTTTTCTTTATGGACTCCATTTGATTTTTCAGGAACTAGTTCACGAATAAGAGAGCTAACTGCCTCGAGATCATTAGCATTTCGAAAAGCCGGACCTACTTCTTCCGACTCCTCCAAGTTCCTAATAGTTGTACCACAACTTGAGCTAGTAGTTTTCGAAATAGTACTAATAGCTGTAGAAACCTTGTTATTAGACCCCATAGTTTTTTCTTTCCGTGGTTTGCCAACTTCTCACTCTTCGGTACTACCCGGGTGGAGTTAGTCTCCTGCAGTGAGCCTTAAGTCACTGAGACTTTGAAATTAAATCTGCATGTGTTAGGTTTTTCCAAGCCACCATCATCCAAAATGCACTGATTCAACTACAGCGTTGTCCATGTTTTCGTTTAACTCAGAACATTGAAAGATACCTCTTGTAGCTGTATCTAAAATTTAGAAACATATACCGCACTCTGGATGTCCTGTTCAAAAACTGGTTTCTGGCTGTGGGATTTTGGTGGTTAATTTCAGATTTTCTGTACTCGTTCCTATTTTCGGGGGCTCTGCGTCATCACTATCGATTTTATGGCAAACCATCTACCTACAACGGAAATATATAGCCAATACTGTTTCTGTTGAAAACGTTTGGGGCTTGTTCAATTGACAGGTTCCATAAATGGCCTGGCACGACTGAAGGCAGGTCTACTCCCGTCTTCTTCGAGAAATGCTGCCATGCGTACATAGATTGTGGCAGGCAGGTACCATTCACTGCCTTCAGGATGTTCCTCACAAAATTGACAGGGAGATTGTGAACATCTGGCGCTTACCAAACCTGTGGACACTTAGGTCTAAGCGGGCAAGTTGAAAAACACTGATTCCAAACCTATAGTGTACACAGGCCTCGGAATCTGAGCGGATCGAATGGTGCGTTAAAGCCGCTTCGATCACCTGCAGCTATGGGAATGCAGAGCATGAAGCTTCTCTATTGGCCTCTGGATCAAGTTGTATGTCAGACACTTGGGGATAGTCTCCTGAGGCTGCCACCTGCTTCGGCATGGGCACCCGGGCAGTATCTTAGCCTTCGCATAAACTGTTAGGCGACACTTCCATGTGGGATTACAAATGCGCATTTACTACTGCTGACCACAATAACATTTTCAGCAGCGTGGTCTTTCTGTAATATGTATAATAATACAATATATAATTATTCCTGTCTGTACAGGAACACACCAATTTCACGGCCATGGATAAGTACTATTAAATTACTGACACTTCAGAAACCAGTAACGGACCTACGGCGCAAGCTTGACAGCGTTACGCCCCTCACGCAGCTGTGTGACCCATCACTAAATGTCTGTCTGGAGCCACTTGACAAATCTGGGGACATGATTGATTACTTGGCTGCAGAAGCTGTTAAGAGGATTAAATCTTCACATAGCGTCTCGGCTTATAAAATTCCAAACAGAAAGCCTATCGCCAAACTTAAAACTTCATGTCCAAAGGCTTGTAATATGTCGTTAGCAGACTGTCTTCGTCTTCGTAAGAAATCTGCAGACCACTCATGTCTGGCGCTTTCCATGTTTAGGTCTGTTGCAGAAGCTAGGAATTTTCTGATATCTGGTAAGATAATAGGCTCTTCAACACCCTACATTAAAACTAAGGTTGCACCTGCTTTAACACCATGGCAAAGACGATGCCGCTCAGGAACATTGAATACTGACAACTCTAAAAGGACAAGTGTAGATGGTGTCCCATGTATTATTGAGTCTAGTGATATATCTAATGACCGCGCGCCTCGGAAATTTTCCAAGGCACAGACAAATATTAGCCAAGTATTACATAAAGACACTGATGCTGACACTGAAATGGTAGACACAGATGAATCAACAGAACAGTTTTGAAGTACTTCGTTTGTACATTGACACAGACGTCAAGGGCCAGGAAACATCAAAACCCACCCCACTCATGGTCCATCCATCCCCTTATAAGTCAGTTAATCCTTAGTCTGACAACCCATCCACTGTGAAGTACCAGTCGAATGTAGCTACCCGAGTTAGCAAGTTCTCTAGGCATTATGACAGACTTCCTAAATCCGTTAAGAAGACTAAGGCATCGGATGTGTCTAAGCATCAGAAAGCCCCTATAACATATGCTGACTTCCCTGTTAACCACCATCAACAAGGTGAACATAATAAAGGCGATACCGTAGTAACTAAATTAAATTCCGAACTCAAAGCACGAAAGCCCATTGATATGATAGAGGCACAAGCGCCTCTAACACATTCTACTGAGAGGGAGCCAATTATGATTGACAAAGCCCCTAGAGGTAGGCCTAATCGGTCTCAAGTGGTAAGCCAATTATATCCAAACACTAATTCTAGACAAACAACA